GTGAGAACATAAGTGGTTCAGCAAATAAAAACGTGTATTTTTAATGAGCTGCATTCAGCTCGTTTAAAGGTTACAGCCTGGTCTACTTACTTCAGTTTGAAGACCAATAATTCAAGTGCGAGGCATTGTCTTCTCTCCGCTCTAAGGAAACGGAATGCGGAAATTGCTGTTCATAAGTATGTCATTTGATCGGGCGATTAGTAAAATGCTACATTGTGTGCCAACAATATAGGAACATCAAGGAAATTAGGGAACATTCATTGACAAACTAGAATTCAGCAGGTGATTCTTCAAATTGGACTTACCCAGCTGTTCGAATATCCTGTCGCACACAGGGTACCAATGTCCAGATATTTGTGAACCGAGTTTGGTACTGAATGCCTGCATAAACGAACAAGAAGTTCAATTCTCGAGTTATTGTTATAAATAAACAATAAAACTAGATTCGCTCTAAACGTCCAGGAGAGGCATACATTATTTGCTTTTATAATAATTTACACATAAGGAACTACAAGACAGAAGTTATACGTCTCAAATGAAATGTTTTCTCACTTACATGCGATCACTTGTGACGCTCGGGCATTTCATGTCCCCGCCAACGGACTCGAGCCTCAAGTCGTTCAATATGATCCCTTCTGTAGCATTACAATTTATACGAATCGATGGAATGCAGCCAAATTGTTGTATTGCAATCCGATAACGGAGTTCGAAATGACGGGGAATCTTTGGAAATGCAGCCGATCCAGGTGCCTCATCATTCAACAATTGCTTGAGGTAGAAACGAAAGTTTCGGATTAGCTTAGTCCAGTTAAACTCAACATGAGACAGTAGAATTGTGGACGTTTCTGTGCATGTTTACCGTGTATCTAAAGAAGACGTAAAAATTGTGAAACACAGAATGAAGGACAGGGTTCCTTCGAAATGCCTGAAGAAAGATCGGTTCGTGTTTAGCCACCTAGAACCGGAGCGGTAACCTATTCCATGAGAATAAACAAATGCAGTTCCAACATAAATAGCAATGAAACAACCTATTTAATTGTATTGGATTTATATCAGTGAAAGCAAAATACCACAAAAACAGACAGAAAACCATTCCATCTGAAACTAGCAGAACGCAAGGTATCTCTTTGCAGTGTCTTGTTGGAATGTACCATGACAATTCATTTGGCATGTCTCTAAAATACCCACCTACATTTCATTGTTGGCCACTCTAAACCCATTAATTCAAAATACCAGTACCACCACAAAAACAAAGAATTCCGCTAACCGTGGCTTTTGTTTTTTTGGACGTTTTACTATAAAATAATGTGATAAACTATAGTGTTGTGGTCCTGTTCAGCATAGTAACTGTATTCAGACAAACAATTTATTAATACTTATGTAATTCTATACGCATTACCGTTTGTAGTAGTCGCCTACGTTTTCGATATCAAGCTGCTCCCTGTGATGGTTGGACATCATAGTTTCTATCAGCCAGATGCTGATCACTACACTTCTCCATTTGTTTCCGTTCAGTGTCAAATGCAGTTTGAGATCGTTATTTTATTAGTGAGAAATGATATTTTGCTACTACCATAACAAATCTCGAATTGAACACGAACAAATTTCAAATGCTAACGTGATTTTAATGACAACATTAGTGATTGTGATAAAGCGACAATGACGATATTACCGATTGCGATAAAGTGACGATTAGTTTTGAGAGCTGTGTATTCTTCCGGTTCACAGTTCATTATTCTCCATACCCGACAAGGTTAATCGTGTGAAAGAATCTCATTCGCTATTTGTATGAGGTTATCAGTCATCGTCTAAGCGTTACTAAGACGTTAGTATATAAATCATGGGGTAGAATTCGGAGAAGTGTATAATAAAGTGCATTCTAAGCATAGGCCAATCGGCCGTGAATTGATTACTGCCGATTTGATAATTTTGAAATGAACGTATAATTGAGTGAATAATGAGTCATACTAAAAATTACTTGCATATTTTTGACTTGGTTTATGTATTCAAGTATGAAATGTAACTGTGTCACTAATCAAATGTGCAAATCACTCTTAAAAGCTCACCTGATTTTCGTATGACCAGTTGATTCGTGACCAGCCAGGGGATTTGTTCAACATTTTAGAACCTGCAAAGCAATCGATGTGCAAATGGAATTCCACTGTAGAATGATGTTTCTGATCTCTGGTACCCGCTTGGATTTTCACGAGGTAAAATATCATATTTAGAGGATAAGCAGCTGTCAAATCTCCCGTCATGGCATTAACCTTAAGCACATGGTGTGCAGGCGATCCGGGATCTACCCATTAAAGCACCCCGTTTTCAAAATCCAAACGATACTTAACACATATTCTACCGCAATTTCTATCCTCTCCCACTGCCTCTCGGTTGATTGTGAAATTAATAATTGATGAATGAAAGAGAAGTTCCTTCCTATGGAAGGACGATAAGAGTGACAAGGATGCCGAAAAATTGGTGAAATGGGACCAAATCGGGTTGCATCCCTCCTGCGGTACGTTTTGAACAATGAACAATGAAAGCATCGACTGACAAGGTTTGAAGGCTTCTTTCAAATCGTGAGAAGTTTGGTATAATATCAGTCATTGCTAGTCCTAGATCGTTATTTGTCACTAAAGACATTGTGATGTTAGCGTGTTGCTATCAGTATTAGCTAAACGGACGATGATTTTGATGAATTTCTTTTTGTCGTTGTGCTTTTCTACTTCATTTTGGTTATTGAACACATACATGTACAGCCAACATTCTCGAGGTAGGCCGCGGGCACACAAGGCTGTCCGATAAAATACATAAATAAGGAAGTTGGGTGTTGGTGGAGCCGTTCGAACCGAGGCTCGCAGATAAGAGATTGACCGAACCACTCGTTCATCATTCTTAACAAAGGTGCATAAAAGGTAATTCATAACATCAATATAAGAGGGCCTACTTTAAAAAAATACCTAAATGATTACGTCTTTCTTTGAACCCAAAATAAATGAGAACGTAATACCCCAGTATCAATGAGCTTCAGCAAGTAGAGCGAAACAAGATAAAACTTACCCTCAGTAATAGCTTCCAATAAAACGAATAGTACCAAATACATGTACTTCATCTTGAGCCGCCCAGGAAACTAAGGACAAAAGAACAGACGACTACTGTTTACTCACATGTTTTATATGATCATTTTCAGTTGGGAAAAGGTGATTGGTTGATACCTGATTGGTCCAGGTCATTTCAGGCGTGTAAGCCTACCTTACCTGTGGATGAATCCCATTCAGGAGGGGCAATCGGGTGACCGAATGATTTCTAATAAAAAATATCTTACACTTTTTCGCTAGTCTATTTACTAGATCAAAAGTCTAAATGGGAAGATGTGGTAACTGTTTTATAAACTACATAGGTTGCGGGGTGGATGCATCCATTCTTTGTTTAAATGGAGCAAAAGCTTTCAAACGGAGCTTCATAATGGTTTGCGATCCCTTACCCATTCCTCTTGTGCTCGAAGAGCATTGTTTTTGGTTGAATCAAACAAACACAAGTAACTCTGTTATATTCAACTATGCGGTTGTTTGGTTAGCAAATAGTACCGTAAACACTGTATAATACAAGTGCTGATGCGTGTTTCAACGGCTGTAAATTCCTCTAGACGGGATTATATTGTCTATATCGACAATAACAGTGATAACCTACCTTACGTCGTGGATAACACCAATCACCTTAGTTAGGTGATCGATAAATTGAAGCTGTAAGAGTTATTTATAATTGCCGTCTAATCTAGTTTTCTATGTATTCGACACACCACAGAACCATCATGCTTGACGACTTTG